ATCCATATTCCAGCTCTTATTGGGTCAATGGATGTCCATTTGACCCAGTCTAGACTGGGTGACCAAGTGGTTAGATCCTTGGTCAAGTTGAGACACTTGTCTCAAATCTGGTGGAGCATAAATACTAATGCTTATCTCAATTGGTTATTCTGATAACTATTGTTCCTAATGTCAAGGAATTTAACATTGGAGGAGCAACTATTTAAGAGACCTCTCCCAAGTGGTTTACAACAATGAGAAAAGCCTTTTATTGAGAAAGGAAAATTATCCTCTCAACTTTAGTTCTAATCAGATTAAGCTACACTATCTTGCATATTGTTTGAGAGGTTGGTGTCTCGGGTCTGATACTGTGAAGCTGCTCTCATTCTCTTTGCGTGCAAGTAAAACCACCAAAGACCTCAGCCGTTCGATTCGATCCGCACTTGGTTTAACAGATGTACGCCGCGAAAATGGTAGAGCTGCACCGACGTAGCCAAGGTGACTGGGCGGTGATTGGGCTGCCACATGGCACCCAAAGCCATCTCTCCCATGGCCCGAACAATTTATGTTTATGTTTGCATCACAACTAAATGTAGCCTGCATTGCAAACAAAAACAGCAGAAACAGCTAAAAGATAGATTACGATTTGCCCAAGCGCCCACAGAATATGATTTTCAACGTGTAACGATAAAAAAATTAGGAGACGGAACCTGATTTCAAAAATGTCCTACTTACTGGGCCGGGCCCCTTCACCATTTAACAAATTCTCAGTCCAGGTGCACAATCTATGAGTCTGTGAACAATACAAAAAGATAAGGTTTATTTTTTATGTACTTGGGGCTCGATTTGAGAGTGAATAGTTCTAGATTTAACCTATTCTGATTGTCCTTTTCCTATAGTTCGCATGTGGTGATTCTTGGTTCGATCAATTTGGGCTTTCCTGGTATTGGTTGTGTTTCCACTGTTCCACATCCCCCCACCCTAGATACAGGCTTCTCACATAGTCACACAATAGCCACTTCTTTAATGGATCAGGGTGACGGCATGGCCGAGCTCTAACCTATTCACACTAACAACCCAGATAACATCAAATGAGTGAAGCCATGGGCCCTGGACGAGAAGAGAGGACAATTTGGATATTGCTTAACTAAACAAATTATATGTGTAATCTTTGCCTGGTCTCTTGTATGCGGATATGGCTTTTCTTTGTGCCAAATCATGTTTTCATGTAAATAAATAGTTGATCACTGATGTTGAAATGAGAATAAACTTTCTTTTAAGTTGATTCATTGTCACACTTGCCATCTGGTTTTCTAAAAGCAGTACAAAATTCTTAACTCTGCCCCTGTGTAAGTGATAAACAGATGAATTGTGAACCATAGAGCATGTGATGTTTTTAATGCCATTGATTGATATCAAGATTTATCATACACTAAATATTCATTTCTGTATTATAGTTACACTCTTTGGCTTATGGGTGATACAAATCATGGATTTCACTCCATGTTTTAATTCACAGTTAAATCCTTGAGTGATTGTAGGCCATATGCATTTTATGATTGGTGTGGAGCAAAATGATTGGTCTCATAAGCGGTAAAACAGCTATCAAGCTCTAACTTATAACTAATCTGTTCTCTCAACCATTGTTTTAAAAGGCTTAAGCCTTCAAGCATGAAACATACGCCTTGAGGAGAGGTGCATAGATTTTGCCTCAAGCCTTAAGCCTCACATCTAAGCATTTGTTAGAATGAGGCGTAAGCCTCAAGCCTCAAGGCGTGAGGCGTAGCCTAAGGAGCAAAAAGGCATAAGCCTCAAATATCAATGATTAACTAGTGATTTAATGCAAAAATATGTATTTTTATAATTTAAAACATATGAAAAGATACTTCAATAATTATGGACCAAATAAAAAATTAAAAATGAAAAATTAATAAGATAAATCAAATTCTATTAGTTCTTCTTCGTGCTTTAAGATAGTTCAATACAAAAAAGACTAATCAGGTTCTTAGTTTTTTTTTTGAATAAATCAACTAGGATTTTCCTTATTATTCTAAATGTAATGTCCCAAGCTTGTTATTTTTCTCAATTCTTCTCTTATTATTATTATTGTTATTTACATAGACCGAATCAACTAAGTTGTTTCCTTTCTTCTAAATTATTTTTTACATGAAATATAAAATATTTATGATTGTTAATCGATTAATTATTATTTCACTTAATACTTAAATGCCAAAACTTATTGCTTAATTACAAACTTCTAGTTTATAGATATGCATATCTCCTTTCATTTTAATTTAGTATATTATAAGTTATTTTCATCAATTTACAAACTTTAATTAATTTTTTTTCTTAAACTTTGAGACTTACACCTACAACGCCTTTAGGTTTATGCCTCACCTTTTTGGGCCATTATTCCTCAACAACGCCTTCAGTTTTTTAAAACCTTACTCTCAACAACCAGTCCAATCTGATTTATGCATATCCACACCTAAACCTTAATATGCAAATCATTTTCCGATCTTGTTGAGTCTAGGTCTATGTATGATCGAGGTGGTCTTAGACCTGATCCATTTCATTGATTACCGTTAATTGGATACAAGAATTAGGATTGCAAATGGTTTGGATTGAATCTAAATCAAAATTGTGTCGGCTTATTATCAAGTCAAATATCAATCATAAGTAATGCATGCAAAAAATCCATGTATGGTAATGTATCAAAAAAAGCCTGAGCCATAAAAAAGGCTTCTTAAAATCAATTAAAGAATCTATTTATCAAAATTTCATCTAATCAAACCAATCCAATCCAAAGATCTAGATCATCAAAGGGATCTTGATGGTCTCCCAAAATCAATGAATTAACCATCTAAATAATATACTAAGGATCTGTTTAGTTCACAATTGGAATTGAAATTCTTTAGAATCAGAATCGGAATGGCCTATTCTCATAGTTTGTTTGATTCAAATAGGAATATGAATGGGAATTAGAATCAATAGGAGTGAGATTTCATTCTTAAGGGAGGGCAAGGAATGACCATTCATTCAAATGGGAGAATGCTATTACAACAGGAATAGTAATGGAATTTTAATTCCAAACCCCTGCAAACCAAATGGGGCCTAAGATTTCAACAAATCAAAGTCAACCAAATCAGGGTGCAATTTGGGTTGACTCGAATTAACATTTTACACTGCTGCAGGTTGACAGAATTCCAATCCTAATCGGCACAAATTGCACCCTTAGGCTCAGTTTGAAAAGAGTACATATATATGTAAAATATAAAATCTTATATTTTATATTATTTTGTATGCATTTATACTGTACATATTTGCATTTATACTTTTTCCAAGTTGAGCCTTACTATCAAATCAATCTAAAAATCCCATCCATCTGATTGATGTACCAATATTTTAGCTGCAACCTAACTTATTTTAAAATTACCTTGATACATGTTGATACATTGTTTGGGTGGCTTTTTACGATCTTAGATTTTATGCATTTTGTATGGTACTTATATTACATAGCCTTTTTTTGAAAAAAAATTATGCATTAATTGAATAGCTTCAATTAGTTGATATATTCATACATGATTGGATTGGCACATCAGTTAATGACATAAATTTGGCACAAAACTCGAAGAACAAAAATCATTTGATCGATATTAAGGTAGAAAATCGATTAAATCGATGGACCGTATATTGAAATTCATCTATCATTTCCGTTTCCATGGCATTCATTAGTTGAAACTTTTACATGGTACTTGGGATTTTCAAGATCAATTCATGAGTTGAAATAGTTGAACAGAGAAACTTATTATTTTGTTTTCTAGTAACTAAATTTCTAAAGAGGTTGTGATTATTTATTTATTTTATTCACTGAGAGACAAAACAAGAAGTCATTCAGTTTAACAATTACTGTTTCTTAGCAGGTGTTTGGCATCGGTGTTGAGAATATCACATTGTTTTTCACAAAAACCTTGCTGGACATGTATGAGTTGTAGGTGCTTATTTTTTGTTTGGAAGTGGTGCTGTCACATTGAGAAAACAACACTTGTTTTATTTGGTACCAATGCTGTAGAACCATTTTCAACATTGGTCATATTATCCAACATCCAAGATGATGCCACATCATCCCATCACTGGTAGCAATGAATTGTTTTCTAAGAAAACATCATACTTGACATTGCTTCAGACCACACTTTCCTAATTTCCAAGGTATGGCTTGAAGCAACGTTTTTTATGGAAAACAATACCGAATAAGAGGTTTTCTTTTTTTCTGAAGCACCACTTTTTTTTGTGGCATCTACATGGTATCATTTTCTCAGAAAACATCATCAATGCCAAACACCTACTTAGCTTTCTTTTTCTTTTTTTTTTCTTTTTTTTTTGCAAGAGAAACACATACTACCCTTATACTTTTTTGTACTATACCCTCCCTAAAGGACCCACTTGTACCCCAACATTTTTACATGCATAAAAACCCTTCTATCACATCATGTTCCAATCACACATCAGGAATATCTCCCATACTTTTAGTTATTATTTACAAAAAACATTTCTCAACACACAGTGGAATGTGGCTGTAAGGTTGGTGTGAGGAATAAATCCCAATTCACATCTCTATAGGTTGTCTTATTCTTGGCCTCATAAAAAGATCTATTGATATACATTTTGATAAATAAGGAATCATCTAAGAGAAGCATTTGTTCTTGATGAGGTTGCTGTAGCATTTGAGGGTCTACCGAAGAGCTCTGAATTTTTTATGTGTGTGTCTGCAATTGCATTACCAGCATATGAGGCTTGATGGTTGTGTCCTCAAATTTGAGCCAAGGTCGAATCTCAGGGTAAGTTCGATTAATTATTGAACTCAAGCTTGACCAATAAAAAATTGGAATCAAAATATATTTTTTACGTAAAATATATTTTTATATTTTATATATAATATAAGAACATGCAATATATTATAAAAATATATCATATATATTTATAAAATATAAAAGATATTTATTTTTAAACTTTCGAGCTGAATTCAAACTCATTGAATATTTCAAAACAAACTTGAACTCGAACTCAAAGTAATTTGTTAAGGAAAGGGATTTTCATCATAACAAAGTGGTTGTGTAATAATCTAGTGAAAGATGGGGAAATATGTAAAAAAAAAAACATAATTCAGGTGTTAAGTGACAAACACCCAAATTAGGGGGGGGGGGGCGTATGTGGAATTTAGCCAAACTATTGTATCATTCTCTTCCCGCGGAAATATGAATAGAGCCCGGCGTTAATGGAGGGAGTGGAGGAAATCGCAGAGGCGCCGGCGAGTTGTCATAAGCTCGTTTTACTCTTTTGCCCATGTAGATCTACGAAGCTACTACTAAGCCTGGCCTTCGATTCTGACTGAGTATATGCGGGGGGTAGGGGGAGCGGGATTGGACTTCTTATTTAAGCTTATAATCCCCAGACTGTTGAACACCAGCCTAATTTAGGTTTTTCTCTCTGAGGTTTCTCTCGAAGAAGACCGGTAGATGGGCGGAAACCTAGATATTTTGATCGATAAGCTTGCAATCAAGCGTTTGGATTGTATTGAAGATTCTTCCCTCTTAAACCAAAGGAAAGGTTTAGTTTCTTGTATATTTCAATTGATTCCAGTTTTGTATTTCGTAGCAGTGATATTGGTCATGACGAGAAGTGGGTTGCCCTAATTCGGCGTCGTATCGATTTCGCTTGGGCAGTGGAGAAAGATACGACAAGGCAGGCAAGCTGGAAGGAGATGACGACGCAAGGCTATAGCATAGCTTTGTGGAGAACTTGTAGTTGGCTCATCAAGTTCATCAAGAACTGTTTATCATCATTGATCTGATTAACACAGCTAAGTTCGAATTTCTTTGGATAATAATCGTGGAGAAACAGTACAACTATACTAGTCTAGCGCTTAGGTTTGCAGTTTTTCTTTTTCAAGCCTATCAAATGCTATTATGTGTCTATTCTTTGTGTTCTATGGCAATAGTTTCAGGTTACAATTTCGAGTTTTTCCCGTTTAGTGTTTGAATTTTGCTTGTTTCCCTGACGATGACTCCTTTTTATAGAAATTCTGGGTCTTGAACGTTATTCTGAATCGTTTTATGCTAAATTGCTAATACAAGCATAAAGTCAAGCTTCTAATAGCCCAACAGATTTAGACATAATTGAACTGACAATAAAATAATGTTGATCGTAAGGATAAGTTTTGATGACTTACAGTTCTCTTTTTTCCGTGGTTTAAAACTATCTTTCTTTTTAATCTCTGTAGGTGGAGGCTAATGATGCAGTAACAGTAGCTGGAATAATCAGACCAAAGCAATTACCTTATAAGTTCTGTCAGTCCTTTCTGTTTCTGCAGCAACTAAGCTGCAGTGCTTCCGGGTAATGTTAATCTTTCAATAGTTTTTCTATAGTTATGTACAATGCAGAAAAGACTTTAGCATTCACTTGTTCCTTTTCTTTGGATATAAAACACCATTGGCTGAGAGTACAATTGTAGTGACAAAACAATCACATGGATGGTTAATTGTTGGACAGTTCTTCAGACTTTTATATTTAATCAAATTCAGATAATCTACATCAAGAGTTGCAGAGAAATCCCTATGGAACACCAAATTCCCTTTCTGAACTGTTGCTTTTTCCTTGATTGTCTGCACTCTTCTGTAGTGATTTCCCTATGGAGTCTCCATATAAGGTCTAAAATCCTATTATTCATATATCTTGTAGATATGCTCTGCTGGCGGATTTGGAAGAAAAGGAACAAGGATTTTAAAAGGCAAGACTTGTGAGATACTGTTGGATAAAACTATACTAGATCCAACTGTGTTTTTGTTCTTTTTATTTTTAATTTTATTTTTTTGAAAAAGGTTCTGTACAGTATACACACCATGAGGATTCCCAAAAAAGGTCTATTTTCAAAAACGATGAAACAAAATCCTGTTCTAATCACTTTAACTGCAAAAGTAATCACCACATCCTCTGGATTTGCCTTATGCTCAAAGATTCTGCAATTCCTCTATGTCCATATGATTCAAAGCGCTGCAAAAGGCACAGCTTCCTGACAGGTCTTCCCTTTCTTGGAGATGCCTTGAACCAAAATACAGGGATAATACACCATGCTAGAGCCGACCATGTTTTTCTGGTCACCAATATTAGCAGACTTTGACAACTGTAGGAGCCTTTACTTGGTTCTATGGTAAAACTTCAGGTTGACAAGAGTGAGAAAACAGGTTTGAGTATGTGAGTGACCACTTTGTGCCAAAAATGTCAAAGGTTAAGTTCCATATCCAGTTTACCACTCCCAAGACTTGGGATTTCCAGGAACATCATTGGGTAATGGTATTTCTTTTATAAAAGTTCCTTTTCTCATTTTTGTAACAACTGGGAATCAATCATCTTTGATTCTGAAATGGGAGAAAACCCATAAATGGTGCAAATGGGCTGAAAGAGTATACCTACTTGTTTTTGTATAGGGGTGGGGGTTTGTCTATTATCTTGTTTTTTTTTTTTTTTTCTGATAATTCTGTCCTTTATCTTGTTTTTGGTTATTAATATATTCATATATGTCTACCAAAAAAAGATAGAAAATGTAGCAGACACTCTCCAAGACCCAAAATAATTCTTCTCTTACACTGATGTTGCTTTTGTCATGTTTTGTTTTTAACATCTTGGATGGTATTTATTTTAAGCAGTCTGCCAAAGATATGGAACATAAGGTTTCTCAGGAAGACAAATTTTACAGTGCCCTAGTCATATTAGATGCTCTTGTGGCTAGGGGTGTAAACGGATCGAATTCGAATCAAATTGGGCAATATCTGAATTCAAATCCGATTAGAAAATTTGATATCCGAATTCAATTCGATATCCAATGGATATTTGAAATTAATATTTGAATTTAAATTGGATTAGATATTCGAATATTCGATTCAACCAATTAATTGTTTTAGATAATTAATAAATATATAAAATAAATATTTTATTTATATAAATATATAAAATTATTTATTTAAATATTATATATATAAATTATATAAAATATTTAAATATTATATATATTATATATAAAAATTAAATAATCAGTTGAATTCAGATATTTAGCAAATTGAGTCAGGTCATATCCAAATTCGAATCCGATCAACTAATCAATATGAATAGGATATCCGAATTTGACCAATTAGATATCTGAATTATCTGAATTCAATTCGATTATATCAAATCTCGAATTCAAAATCGAATTTTCAAATACCATTGACACTGGCGTTTGCTCATAATGACTTGTGACGTTTGCTTTTTATCCAACACACTAAAATGTCTGTTAAACCACTCATAATTTCAACCACCATCTTTACAAATTTATTGTTTTCTTGTTTATCTAGCACAAATTTGTTTTTAACTTTCTATCTTTTTACACATAAAATGTCATATACATGAGTGTGTGTGTGTGTCATGCTACTTTTGAAAAACAGAGATTACTAACAATGATCAAGTTATGGTCTAATTTAACAACATGCTGCTTTTAAAAACAGTGATAAATTCAGAAATAAAGTCCTATCGGGAACCTTTATTTTCCCCATTAGTTGATATTATGAAGCCAAGTTGATTGAAGTGGTTTGATCATACAAACTAAAAGGGGATGAATGATCATATCAGTAAGGATTTGGTACCTTACAAGTTATAATGGTCTAATTGGACAAGGGGCAAAAAGGATGTTGATGGAGGTGGTAGGAAGATATCCTATCAATTAGATGTTAATAGATGATATTGTTAGGAACCTGCCTAACTCAGGGCTCTTCGAGGGGCCAACCTCCTGAATTCTTGGAAGAAGAGAGAGGAAAAGAGAGAGAGAGTTTAATGCTGAAACAATCAATGTCCTATTCCCTTTCTTGCTCTACTACTTATAGCTTTACAATCTTGATTGTTACAGTTGTTACAAGTGAATGGCAGTTGTTACAAGTGGATGGTTAGTTGTGCTGATGTGGCCTCCTCTTGTAAAACTGCTTAAATGCCTTCTGTTGGTCTGTTCCAGCAGTCTTGACAATCCCCCCTTCCTTTAGAGCGACCTTGCCCTCAAGGTCTAATGTAGGAAACTTAGATTGCAGATCTAAGTAGGATTCCCAGGTTGCATCCTCTTCCGGAAGGTTAGACCAAACAACTAATGCCTCTGGTATGACTCTGCCTCCCCGGCGCACCCATCTGAAATCAATGATGCGGGCTGGCTCAGTCTGCACTTGTCCTTCTGAAAATATGGGAAGGGTCACACTTGTAATGACTCCTGACTTCGGCCCCTTCTTCAGTAAGGAGATATGGAATACAGGGTGCAGTTTGGATGTTGCCGGAAGGTCCAGTTTGTAGGCCACTGATCCTATTCTCTCCATGATTTTAAATGGGCCAAAATAGCGCGGGCTGAGTTTGTTCTACTGTCGGCTTGCAACTGAAATCTGCCTGAAGGGTTGTAATTGAGAAACACCCAATCACCTACTTCATATTGGACATTCTTGTGGTGTTTACCATAGGTGTGCTTCATCCATTGCTGTGCCTGTAAGAGATGATGTCTCAGTTCCCTTTGCACCTCATCCCGTTGCGTTAGCTGTTCTTCAAGGGCTGCTACTATGGTGGTTCCTTTTTCATAAGGAAGTAGAGGGGGAGGGTCCCGACCATATAAAGCTCTGAAGGGTGTCATCCCCACGGCGCTATGGAAAGTGGTGTTGTACCACCATTCGGC